ACACCAAATCTTTGTATCTTCAAGAACTAGGCATCATTAGAACTAAACATGTCAGTACAGCTATTCTATGACCTTTAGTGCAGCTTCCAATCAATATATATAAGCAAACTCAGTAAATTTAATCAGTTCACATTTGTGGATGGAGATAAAGAGCTTATCTATAGTTTCTCACCTGTTACCCCAGTAGGGGATGCCCACAGCCTGGATGATGACAAGTACCACTTGGACGAAAAACACAAAGAAGAAGAAGAAGAAGTTGAAGGAGCTGTCATTCCTACAATGAGAGGAGAAAAGAAAAAGGCTTTTAGCTCTCTGAGGACAGTGAGTTTAGACTCTTCCATCTAAAGCAGTTTGATTTACATGTAGGAAAAAAGAAACGTTACATAGACAGAGGGAGCCCTAAAAGGTTCAAGGTTCACTTTGATTTCTCAGACCATTTAGAGAGATATTATTCTATGGGCAACGAGTTGAAGGCACAAACTAAACTGTTCATCACTTATTCTTTATGGTATGCCAGCATTCAGAACATGTAGACGAATCACTGTCCCCAGTTGATGCCTCTGCTGCGGTGATCAACCTTATTTTAAAATTGGCATCATAACTCCTCCTCAAATGTCGGCAAACTTGTCTGACTCTTAATCCTTCTCTGTTGTGGTAGAAGGATGACCCCAGCTACAGTTTCCCATCTCCATGAGGTCACTGGCTTTACAAAAAAAACTGGCGCCCTCTGCTGTTACGTTCATGTAGCGACCACAGATAGATGTCAGTCTGTATAATTGTTAGACACCATTATAAGACTTCCCCACATTTTCACATCTCTTTAAATGAAAATAACCTCGTCTCATATTCGGGCCAAAACGGTAATAGAATTTTAAACCTCTAAATTTAAAGTCGTAGGGAAACGGCTGTTCCAACCTTTTCATTTTCGAATTCTCCCGAGTGGTGCACGACTTTACATGAGTGAATAAAGTGAATTTCATTGGTCGTTTATCAAGGGGGTGGGATTGTTGTGGAGGAAGGTTCGCAAGCAAGTTTGGTTGTGGCCGGTTTGTCGGAACCATCTTGCTAACCAGTTAGCAACTTAGTGCTAGTAGGTTCCCAATGGGAAATTCCATTGGGACCAAGTAGCACTAAATAGGTGACTTAGAAACGACACTGTCAAGGAACGCTATGGACAGAGGAAACATGCAAGAGGAGGAGAGTTTAGTGTCAGAGGTCGTGGATGAGACTCCTCCGTCATCCATTTTTTATTTAGAGGAGGAAAGCGGGGACGAAGATGTTGTGGAAGAGGACGCCAGGGCGGCAGAAGCTTAATTTGGTGTAGAAGGCTTCCAGCCGTACATGTTTTAGCCCTTGCCTCGCAACGCTGCCAGTTCTGTTAGCTCTACGCCTGCTGAAGACACAGACGTCCATCCCCGTGAACACTGGGACGGAACTCAATCGGAAAGGAAAGGATTCTGATTTCAACCATTGCGTATATTAGCTGCCACATATCAATCAAGATGCTATGACCAAAAAAATTTGATTGACAGATGACCGTTGATATATGATTGGTGGAATTTAGATGTTCAGGCTGACGTAGAACTAACTGGCCTGCAGAAGATAACAAAAAAAAACACAGATGTTAAGACAGGATTTTTTTTTTATATAGACAATATAGTCTCATAAAGAGTACATTCATATACATGTTTAAGCCAGAATGATTTGACATTTAAATATGAATTCCCTATGACTTTAATGATATCTATTTTCAAGCTTTTAAGTTCAAATTACATGATTATATAGATTCAGTCAGAATCATTCAAATTCAGTTTCTTGTAACATAATGCTGCCACCTGCTGGTAGACCATGTGTTTTTCCTTTTTATTGGGATCTAACGGACCAGTGGTAATCGTTAGCATTAGTGCAGTTTTAGTGGTTACTTTACTTACTTAAAGGCCTTGTAGACTGGCCGGTACCAGCAGAGGAAGGAGCAGGGGGTAAACAGGATTAGCCAGAGAATGGAGAGGCCGAAGTCAACGCCGTGCGCTGAGCCGCCAATGAATTCTGCCAGGCACGCCAGCAGGTTGAGGAACAGAGTCACACAGTAGACTGAAGGAAACAGCACAGTGACTGTCATCATCAGCAAATGCTGAATTCATCCAGGATTCTACACCGTGAGAAGATAAGAATGCTTACACATCCAGAGGTAGTACATCATTTTGCAGACTCTCTGGTACTCTGTAGGAATTTCCTCTGAGAAGTCCTGATAGAAACACGGTTTGATGGGGAAGAACTTGGGAAGCGGAGGCCAGTTGTTCTCCTTACCTGCTGAAACAAAAGGTAAAGTTATTGTGAGTTTCCTGAAGCATCGGTTTAACGAGGAGCTCGTAACCACAGGGGCTATCAGCACATAAAGCCTCAAAGGGAACAGTGATGGTAGAAATGAACCTACAGTAGCAGCCATTCAAAATGGCCGGTCAAACGCCAGTGAATGGCAGCAACTTCCAGCCACTGGAGTGACCCCCTCTTGCATATTATTTTACTTTGACTCTACCCTTTCACTGAATTACAGGGTCTGAAGCTTCTCTTTAGATCTTAATGTCCACAAATCATAACAGAAAGAATATTTTAGTACAAAGATTGATGTTTAAAAAGGAATTGTAGGGACCAGCCAATGGCCCATCAAGGAAAGTGGGGAAAATTTGAATGGCTACTACTTTAATGGATGGTTTTTACTCAGAGTGGCATCACTCCTGTCTCAGCTGGGCTTTTAAGAGGACTACATGACGCCTCTGAGATATGAGGCGTATGTGCAGCATGTCATCCTAAACATCCTGTTTGCAGCAAGATGCAGACGCTGCAAAACGCCTTCCTGTCTCAGAAAGCTGAGCTGCTGTGGTGAAGGATGCATTTGTCTTTAATGACCTGTGGGGCCTCGGCTCTGCAGCTCCTGCTCCCTGCGGTCCAGTTCAGCAGCTTTCCTCTCCAGCTCCTCCTGCTGCTTCAGCAGGGTGGCCTGAGCTGCGGCAGTAGTTGCCTGGAAGAAATAGAGAAAGGGACTGAGACAGAGGCGGCGGACTGCAGAGGCTTTAAAAAAAAAACGCTGCTAGGCAGCAGTGTCAAACTACAGTGGCCCTGAGGTGCAAACCCACATTACAGATTCTGAAACACTTAAAGCTTAAAACTAATTTGTGTTTTCTGCTAATTTGTTTTATGAAATGTTAATTTGCCTCTAAGCTTTGTAAAAGGAAATTCATGGATTGTCCATTTATATACATTCAGGCTCATTTTTTATAGTTTAACGGGGCCAGCCAGCTCCTGGATCAGCTCTCTGATTCACCATCAAGCTGCAAACGTTCAGAAATTCAATCTCCATTATCCGACTTTAGCGCTTGGCTCACTGGACCAAACACCATGTCAGATAGTGATGAGACTGAGTGGATGTGCTCTCTTCATCCTCTGACATGGGAGCTGCTTTGGAGCTTGTCTGCCTGGCTGTGTGTTTCCTGGACGGGGCCGCCTTTTACAGCTGCTTTTTGTATCTCTGCTTCTGTCTCCTTGAACCCCAGTCGGCCTCGGCAGATGGCCGCTCACACTGAGCCTGGTTCTGCTGGAGGTTTCTTCCTGTTAAAAGGGAGTTTTTCCTCTCCACTGTCGCTACAAGCATGCTTAGTGTGAGGGATTGTATTTGAGTCAATGACTCAATGCAATCAACTGGTTTTCCTTAGAAAACTTTGTATCGATTTGATTGTATGATCTGGTTGAACTGTAAAGTGCCTTGAGATGACATGTGTTGTGAATTTGGCGCTATATAAATAAACTGAATTGAATTGAATTGAGAGTGAAAATATTCAGTTTTATACTTTATAGTACTTTCCAGTTCACCAGATCATCCAGTCAGATTGATTCATAGTTTTCTATCTAAGGAAAACCAGCTGATTGCATCGACTCAGTGACTCTTCAGCAATCCCTCACACTAAGCATGCTTGTAGCGACAGTGGAGAGGAAAAACTCCCTTTTAACAGGAAGAAACCTCCAGCAGAACCAGGCTCAGTGTGTTCAAGGAGACAGAAGCAGAGATACAGAAAGATAAGAGCCACAGACTACATGTTGAGGGAATTTTAAATTAAACGGTTTAAAAGAATTCTTTTCTCAGATTAAACAGGGAAGGCTTGGATTCAGACATCCAGTTAGCTGTTATACATTTACAGTTTAAAAGCTGTCCTCTCTCTGGTTTATGGTGTTCGATGTTAATTTTGAAGTGGATCTGTTGGCCGATAAAGAAGAAGAGCAGCTGTGCTAAACAATTAAGAGTGTTAATAAAATGTAGGCGACACATGGAGGGAAGCGAGGGCCTGTTCCCACCTGTGGGCTGGGTTCTGTCGAAGGCTGCAACACGGCCGGCTGGTAGAGAGAGCTGGAGGCTGGCGTGGTGCGAGTGGCAGCAAAATCCTGACAGAAAATGAGAAAAAAAAAACATTTGACGCAAAGGGAAAACTTAACGTGTAAAACACAAAAAAAACTTTGAAAACAAAGGAAAACAAGGTATAGAGATAATCAGATGGGAGATCCAGGAGAATATGAAAAAAAATTAAGGCAAGACAGAAACAGGAGGTGAAACAGATCAACTTTTTTTAAAATCAGTCAAGCTCCAGGTGTTTGGCATGATGGCTTAGAGATAACAATTACGTTTAAGAAAACAAATATAACAATTATATAATGGATAGATGAGACTTTGCAAGGCTAAATCCAGCTTTTTCTTCCCAGTAAATGGCCCTTTTCTGTTTCCGTCCAATTTTAAAATCATCTTTAACCATTATCAAAAAATATATCAAAAATAATAATAAATCACAGTGATTCTGGTCGTGATTTCCGTTTGTCTCCGTCAATCACTATTTTATTGAAGAAAACAAGGCTCATAAAATCAATGTGGGAGGTCTCACCGTGGTCTGGGGAAAAGGGTTGTACTCTTCAACTGTTTCAATGTTGGAGTTTGTCACCTGAGTGACCGACGGATCCTGAAAACAACAAGAGAGACATAGAGCAATAAGAGATTAAGCATAAACAACAGAGATTAGATGAAGCGTCTGCAGCCTGGGATCCTCCAGAGGCCTCCTGATAACTTTGGTCCAAAATAATAAACAACAAATGTTGTAAACTTATGTTTTACTGGAAGAACTGCTCTGAGTTCCCATCTGAGTGACACTAAAAGCAACTTATTTTACATCACTTTTTTTTCTTGTTACCAGTGTATATTGAGGACAATTCATCTAGGGCTGAATCAATTAATGGATTAATTGATTAATGGAATAATCGTAAACTAATTTAGGAATAGATTAATCGTTAACAGGAGTGTAGAAACTCTAAAATATCTCTAGCTGATACAGCACCTCACTTAGAGCATTAATTATAACTAAATGGTAAACATATAACATTTAAGATTAAATGCTCAATATGCTCCATCCAGTACTCCTCATGTGGAAACGTTTTTGTTTCACCTGGTTTAGCTACGGAAAAAGTCTTCTTTCAGGAACATTTGCAATCTGATTATTAATCAGTTAATCAAAAAGATATTTGACAGATTAATGAATTAGTAAAATAATCATTAGTTACCGCCCTAAATGCTTCTCTTCTCTTCTTTGCAAAACAAATTAGTTTTTCTTTATTTCAAAAAGTTGAATCAAATGGTGATAGTTTAATGATGACTGCAAACTTTCTATGTTAGATAAGCAGAGCTTAGTAGAACTGGAAAGCTGCTGGTTTCAGGCTCACTAGCAAACCAAGAGTATAAAACCAAACTGAACAAAAGGTATCACCTAAAAGAGCGTCAATACTTATATACGTTTGCTTTTTGCTATTAAGAAGGATGTATTGGACTAATTCAAACTTTAGATTATTTTTAATAACCAATGGTTGCTTAATGCTCCACACTTTTTTTCTCCGAAACAGTGAGAGAAAAAGGTGCGAGCCAGAGGAAACTGATTGTTTCCCATCTTTGATCGAGTTGTAAACAAAGGCAGTCGCAGCGTTCACGTGTGGAGGCTCTGCATCAATCATTACCTTTGGAAGGCCCATGGTAATCATTAAATGGTTTTGCTCAACCTGAGTCTGGTTCCAGTCTAAAAGCAAAGACTCTGACCAACAGGAGTCATCTCTGATCTCAAGACAGTTTTGGCCAATAAATGGAGAAAACCCAATTTAATATTCAAACCAAAGAGGAAAAAGTGTAACAACATTTGAAAATGTCACCAATAATGAGAGCAGTGCAACTTCTACACCTTTAGAGGACAACTTTGCTTTAATTTGGTCAAATTTATCGATTAAACAGTGAACCTCTGTGCTGAAATGGCGATATCTGACAGGAATTTTATTTTTTTTAATATATAATGTATTATGCAGAACTGTGAAATGTACGCCTTTCTGATCTGATAACATGGGTGAGGCATAAATCTATAAAACTAAAGCGTCTAATGGCATCACGTGGTCAGCAGATCATAACATCCTGCTAATTAAGACAGATGAACATGGACAAAATGAGGATATTTAAATGTTGCCATGATGTCAGCTTCACATGCAATCATCACAGAAATACCCTGAACGTTAGAATATCTCATAGTCACTGGAAATAAGGTTTTTAATTGTCCCCATTCAAGTATTCAGGCTGTAAAACCTTTTGAAGAGCTTCCTGAGGAAGTTCATGACTGACCAATTTTTCAGTACATCTCTTCTCCCAAAAAGTTGCTGCTAACTGCTGTTCAATCTGAAAAACTCACACCAAGAAAAAAGACAATTAGAAGAAATTTATTGATACATTTACTTTGTCTTTGGCGCTCAGACCTCAGCAGAAAACATGCATGAAGAGGAGTAAAGAATAGGGCTGTTTCCCCCCAGGCCTGAAACTGGTGGTGGAGTGGAGATAAATGAAGTTGGTCAGACTGCTGGTTAGTGAGACGGTCTGCTGAGCTTTATGGGGAGATCCAGTGGACTGCATGAGCTGATACTAGAGATTCACTCAGGGACCTGGAAGATTGAAGTCCAGTTGGATAACACAGGCTGAGAGAACCTGTCCATGATGAGCAAGCATAAAGCGACAGTGGAGAGGAAAAACTCCCCATTGGTAAGAAACCTCTGGCAGAGCCAGGCTCAACATGGCGATCCTCTGCCGGACTGGTTGAAATGAGATGCGGAATATAGGAAGAGTCCAGGAGGAATGATGCTCTGATGAAGTTTTAGCTATGATGGTGGAGGAGGGTTGAAACGGTGTCGCCTGAATTAAGTCACACAGCGCAACCACTGCCTGCGACTAGGAGCAGACAAGTTGTGGATCAGAGGCCTTTAAGATGAACCTTGGACGCTGATTGGCTTCCGTGGAGGCGTGGTTAAAAGCTGACTGGCTGTGTCGTAGGTGGATGAAGGAAAGTAATCAGTTTATTCAGTAGGACTTCCGCCTAGGCTCCATTTCAACTGGCTGAAATTCCAGAATTAGTTTGTAGCTTACAACTAGGGCTGCAACGAACAGATATTTTTCAAAATCAATTAATCTGGTGATTACTTTAATAACATGTCAGCTAAAATGTGCCTGATATTAGTTCTTCTTTTCAGAATTTATACCAGTTATAGCGTAAACTACACCAGTTGAGGAGCTTCAATTCATGTTATTCATATTTTGTACAGTTTTGGATAAAATACGTTTTTTTTTTTTTTTTAGCAAACTGTATGTTTTTTGAGTTTGTGTACTCCACTTTATTATCAATGGGATACTAAACTAGTTGATTATTTCAACAAATTATGCATTTTTACAGATTTTTTGCACCATGGAAAACTTTCCCTGTTTCTGTAAATATTTGAAGAATGAAAAACGGTCACGTTTAAACTGAAAGAAATGGCAACCAAATCGGTCATTAAGGGAAACCGTTTATGAAACTACAGCTGAAAAAATATAATGAAGCCTTCGACTACTGGCTAGCTAACCCGCTAATATTAGATAGCTAGACTCTCATTGTTTCCTATTTTCTTTTCATCGAGTTGCTGTAGGTGTTGATAGCTGTAGAAGGAAGGATTTTCTGTAGCGGTCTGTCTTGCAGCAGATGTAGAAAAGCCTCTGATTGAAGAGCCTTTTTGTTGTTGTTTAATAATCACTGCCATTCTGCATAGATCTCGCGGGCTGAACGGTCCACTCGCCCTTCACACTACCGGGTTTGGGACGGTCCTTAATGTGGCGGACCCTCGACAGGAATGTGAAAACAAAGGGTTAGTGCTTAGTGCTAGTGTTTAGGGGCAAGACATTTCCAAATATTCATTCCCATAAACCTCCCGCACATTAGGGTGATGGACCTGTAGCTTTTAGCGTAAAAAAAAATAAAATAAAAACAGAACAGCACAAAGAAAACGCAACATTTTTAAAAATCCTATAGAAAAAGGTGTTAAAATTAGGGGTGAGTATTGACATGGGTGTTGCAATATGATCACGATACATGGATCACAATATGAAATCACTATATTGGGATATCACTTTATATATATTGCGATATTTTTCTCAGCTATCAAAATTTAATTTAAAGATAAAGAAGCAGGTGCAGTATCTGTTCATCAGAAGATATTGATCATTAGTCATTTCAGTATCCATGTTGTTTGGGGTTTCAGTGAGTTTCACTGTGACTGCCTCAACCGCACAGCTAAAGAGCTCCACAGCGCCATCTGCCAGAGTGGAGGTGCAGAGGTGGCCCATTTTCCCCTCATCATTTCAGGTAGAAATGTTTTTCTTTTTTAACATTGATACAAGCAACTGAAAGATTAAAATTATATCGTGCAGACATAAATCGCAATATATCGCGAAAACGACTTTTTCCTCACACCCCTTGTTAAAACTGACCTCATAAATCCAGTTTATGCCATTTTAAAGGAGACCAGCGTCACCCATTATGATGCGAGTAACAGGCGGCTGTGATGTCAGCGGGGAGCTGTGTTTGTTAGATGGGTGGAGAGGTTGCTGAATCAATAGCCAGGCCAAGCGAGGTGTTGGTCAGTGATAAATACAGACCAGCTACCATATACTCATTTCTTTTACCTAAATAATAATCCACTTTTCTACACCTCACAGCCGAGCATGTTCTCCTCATCACTGACCAGCAACAGAAATAACACCACATATATACAAACAGCCGATGTCTTTCAAATATGTTTTAACTTGAATGTTTCAATCAATTTCCAGCTTTTCCTGTTTTATCCCCCCCCCCCCCCCCCCCCCCCCCACGACATGTTTTTTTTTTTTAAGCAGGATTGATGATCCGCTTCCTCATTCTTTCCATCCGAGCCTCTTAATCAAACAGGAGCGGTTTCTTTTACACCAACAGGATATGCATCTACTAGATCACTGCTTTCGGATACTGTATTTACTTAATACGGCCTCACATTTTATTGTATAGTCCTCTGTTTATCCTTATTATTGTTATTTCTAATTATCATAATGATCGTACTGCTTTAAACTTCTGACATTATGTAAGTTAGTTAATTTAATTCATGTTACATTGCTATCATGTTGACTTTACTCAGGAATTGATGGATTATTCATCTATTCTAATTGGTTATAGATAAAGCGTTGCAGAACGTTTCTAAACACAGCTACCAAATGTAGGAGAAAGATATAAGCTGCTCCCATTCCTGATGGGAATGTTTACAGGTGTGTCCTGAGCAGCAGGCCGTGAGCTCATGTAGTCACATGGTGAGTGAGTGACGTGTTGCTTTATCTTGGGATTGATAAAACACTTTCCATAAGGTGGAGAACTGAATCTGTCATAGATGAGCGATTTTTACCCTGAACTTAAAAAACAAAACAAAAAAAACCTATTAAGGAATAAACTTTATGCTGTAAACCACATCTCCCTCCCCTTTAATATGATTTTCAATTAATAGTACCCCAGTAACAGTAGCACTACTTCAACATTTGTTTACACAAGTAAAACTGAAAAGTAGCTGATAGGAATGCAAGCTATGGATTAATGAAATAATTTTTTATTTA